AACGTAAGAAAACTTGCTGCAACACCAGAAACTAAAGTTCACTTCCAGCATTTAAAAAAAACCCCTAATTACAATGAAAGGAGCTGGCTATAGATGCCTCAAGTTATAAATAATGAATGTTGGTGTTTATTCAGGCAAAAACCACAACCATTAAATATGGAAATCCAGTGCAAATCAGTGAAGCAAACATCTAGAAATAGAGAGAAAAGATAAACAATAATAATAAATTATTAAAGCTTATAACTAAGAAAGCCATGGGAATGTCAGAAAGACCATTCATCTGTAAATGGGGCAGTGAAAGAAGATAATGCACTTAAATTCTACGTCTGAAAAACTCTCACTGACTTCCCTGATTAGGAAGGAGTTGCTTAAAAATCAGCAGAAAGGGTTCTGATTTGATCTAGAAAACAATGCAAACTTCACTCAATGAATAACTAGAAATGCTTTTTATCATTGCTATTTATAAATGCTGCCTGTGGCAAAGATTCCCAGTGCATAAATTGTTATGGTGAAGGACTACCAGGAAAAACTATGAGGAAAGCACTTTGCAGTTTTGGATAGCCTGATTTGCTTAGTTTACAATCAGATTTGTCCTCCATCTCCAAAGCTCAGTCTATGATCAGAGCAGTAAGTGCTGCTCCTGGCTTAGGTAGTGGTGTTCACAAGAATGGATTTGACCATCAGCTTGCCTCTGTCATTTTTGGATTGTTTCTTTCCCCCATCTCCCTCAGCTGCATTCCTTACATTTTGCTTACAGCTTTAGCTCTCATTTCTCATTTCTGTGTGCATGAGGAGTGAGAAGAGGCGGGCAGAAATCGTCCTGCCTTGATTTATGGCACCTTCTGCAGGCACCCAGTGCTCCAGCGAGCACGGTGGGTGCACAGGGATCACCGTGTTCCAGTGACACAGCAGCTGGGGGGCTGAGATTTAAAATTGCCTGTCTTGAGGCACCCTGGGATGTATTTTAAAGTTATGTCAAGGTCAAGTAGCAGATGCCATAGGTGGTTTTGTGCATGTGTCTGTCAGTCAGCACCTTTCCAGAAGTGTCGGAGGAACTGATGAGGAGAGCCTAATGCAATTCATTACTGTGGCCAAGGCACAATGTGACCCAGATTCCCACATTCATGGACGTGGAGAGTGCTCTGATCTGACATCTCCACGTTTGGGATGTTCTGCTTTGGCTCCAGCTGCTGATTCCACCTGCAAGCTGCTGGGTTTGGGCCCATAGCTGAGCAAGGTTCAAGGCATGACATGAGTTCCTTGTGACAGGGGATGGGGCTGACTGTGTAATAAGGTCATTTGAAAGAGAGGAGCTGATCCCCCAGCGCCTAAATCCTCACAGAGGAGATTGGATACAGATGTGAGCATTCCCCCCATCCTGCTCAAAACCCCCTTCGCTGGTCATCTTAATTACATCAGAGTAGCATAAATAGAAAACCATGGAAAGTGTTTAAGATGTCTAGAAAGGTGGAGCAGCAGGTATTCCAGCAGCTCTTTTCTAGACACAAATCTTTGCTTTGCCCTTGCATTGGAGGAAGAGGAATTGGTACTGCCAAATCAACAGCCCCCTTTTTGCTGATGATTAATTTCTAACCATGGCCAGAACTTGTCTGACCTCAATTCTCGAGTCTTTTGACACACCAAATTGAATTGCTTTAAATTTTTCTCTAGCCAGCCCCCAAAAGCATTGAAGTGGTACTTTACTGATGCAAATGTAGAAGGGAGCAGATAATTGAGTTTGATCTGGTCAGACAGAGTTACAGCTGGAGGCTACCTGTGAAAACTTTAGGCATAAAAATATTATTCTCAAGAAATTCAGCAGCATCCAACTGGTAAAAACTTGAAATTCCATGTGAAAACTCATCCCACAACACTCAAAATTTCCTCCAAACACTCAATTTAGTTTCAAAAGAATTTTCCTTGTGCACAAATATTTCTGTGTATTGAGCCCCAAATAAACAACCATGGGCAAAAAAACCAAAACTCTGTAGAAACAACAGATAGCTGGATAATTTCTGGAAAATGAACTTTGTGGCTATACACTCAGTGCTAGAAGAAAAGTTTGCTCCTTCAGGATGCAAATTATCAATGCTGTAGTTTGTGTCCAGCTCAGCACTTTCAGGCTGGGGTCACAAGAGCCTTGCTGGCAGTCATTAGGCAGGGCCTGGATGTGCCAAGGGGACAGAGGGGACAATGCCATTGCTGCAGGGGATAGCAGGGTGTCCCAGCTGGACCTACACCACCAGGTGGAAGCAGAACACCCTTTGGATGCTCCTCCCTGTAACACCCGCTGAAGTTCATTTTCAGTTCGATGCCCAAGGGCAGCAGTCAGGCTGAAATCCCAGTTCCCCTCCTCCTCCACAGCACATCTTGCTGCTGCTTACACTGCAATCTGCTCCAGGCTCCCAGCTTGTGTATACATCACGGGCTCTGCTGATCACAACAGTGATACCTACTTCAAACAATGAGAGCTTTTTGCCTGCAATTTCCCTTTGATGCTTAAATAACAGAAAAACCACAAAAGCAAATGAAGCTCTCCTCTGAATTACTCAGGAGAATATGGTAAGGTATTCTGCTCTGTCAGATATTGTTGTAATTAGGTGCTTTTAGAAATATATGATCTATTTTTATCTGTTATTTATTGTGCATACTGTATTTATTGTGCTGAACACATTATGCCCCTGACAGGCTATCAGATTTCTCAGTGTGTTAATTGTCTGGTCCCTGCTGCTACACCAACTTCTGAGATTCAGAGACAAACCAATTGAATTCTGACATTTATTTATCTTCTTAGAGTGAATATTTTTGTCTGGTGAATACGTAGGGCTCCTAAAGAGATGTTACACCATACTAATCCTCCTCAGTTCCTGGATTTCTGACCAAACACACAATGACAGTCCTTTCAGAGCCACGGGCTCACATGGTGACATCCTTTGCCTAAAGGCAAACCCATGAGGTTTCCAGAAGGAATTTAGACCAGCTGTGTCTTGGGGCAGTGCAGATGCACCCCAAAAGTGGGGGTTTGCCCCTCCCTGGGCTGTACAAAGCCATCCTCAGGGCTGTGTTACCCCAAGAACTGAAAGGCAGAGCCACAGGTTTGCTCCCTGGCTCTGGTTTCTTGTCTCTCGTGCCCACTCACCCTGCCCACATAAAAAAGGAATAGCAGAGCAAGGCAATAATTCTTTTCCCTTCCCAAAAACCTAGAAAATGAACATGAGTCAAAGCTCCAGCTGCCTGGCAGCGGGAATGCAAACACACCAGAGCTTCCTGGTAGATGCTGAGAAGTAACTGCACAACCTGTTTAATTAATTAATCATCCCTTCAGCCCTGCCATATCCTCCAGATCAGCGTGTCCTCAGCTACCCTGACCACAGGTGGGGTCTGGGCTCAGCTCTTGCCATCCATCTCCTGAGCACCCTGCAGTGAGTTTAGCCTTGCACTGCCCACGTGGGGCTCCTGACCCCAGTTTCTCATCAGAGGCAGCAGGGAAAGGAAATTCTCCAGCACGTGAGCCAGTGTCTCCATCTTCCAAGGTACGTGCACTCTTGCCAAAGAAAAGCTTCCCCTTCAGCTTTTCTGTATGCCTAATTTAAGACTAGAAATGAGAAGAATTTTTATAAGTCTAGAAAGCTGTAGCACAGAGCTTACAAGTGGGAACATCAAAGTCCAGGAGGAGAAGGAAACTGGAGGCCCTCAGAACTCTGTACAATGTGGCAAGGATTAACAACCTTTAGTCCTTTATACCTTGTACAAACACTACTTATTCCATACTAAACAACACTTAGTCTAAAAAAAAAACCTACTGATTTTGCTTGTAGAAATTCAGAACCAGATAAATAACAGTAAGTTCATATCCTTGGTAGCACCAGGCAGTCTTCTGCAGCCTTTAGCTTGAAGCAGCCTGCCAGGAGCCCCTGAGCTACAGCCAGCCTCTAAAGAGCCAAGACCTCGTTTTGGTGGGTTTTTGGTGGTTGTTGTTGTTTTGGTTTTTTGGTTTGGTTGTTTTTTTTTGTTTTTTTTTTTTTTTTTTTTTTGAGGAATCCTTGTCATCATAGGTGGGTTTTCAAAGGTGAAAAAAAGCCATGGTATAAACCAGAAAATTTCCAAGTTCATGAACAATTGTACAATTTGAGATACTCTGTTGTCTTTGCATGCCATGTATGTGAGAAACATGGGAATTCCAAATGGGCAATAAAATATAAAATACATGTAGTTTTTAGTGATAATATATCAACCCAAGAAGTGAATGAGCCCATATAGCAGCTTTTTCTCTCATTAATTATTTTAATATGCTGAAATGCCTACATTTTAGTCTACCTGGCTTTTAAAGTATATGGTTATGAATCCCTGGGAAAAAAGACATCAAATGAAATAAATGGCAGCTTTGAATTAAAGTTGTGATGAACACTGTCATAATAAATTGTCTCCTCACCCAGAGGAGTGATAAGGTATTCCTGCTGTACCACACCATGTTTTCACAAGTCAAATGCAGCCACGTGTTCCATTTATAGCTTGTTTTTGGGCTGAAAGTCTCAACTAATCTTAAATGAATGCAGCTGAGCATGATTCAAGGCTATTTGGATAAGAATACCCTGTTTCCAGCTAATTTGGACTGAGATTTTCTAGACTGTGGAAAGGTTTTTGCAGCCCAAGTCAGAGGCACTGGTGTTTCTAAATCCTCCGGGCAGTGTGTCAAAGCATAATCTTTGAGAGGTGCTGCTCCACAGCTTGTTTCTACAGTCATAATTGCAAGAGGAAAGAATGCTGAAAACATTCAAAACAATGCTTTCATAGGAAAGATTAACCCTTTTCAACACCCCAGCCCTTCCTGGCATTGCAGTGGGCATTAATCACTGATTAATCACCAATTCCCTGCTCCAGCTCCATTTGCTGCTGCTACAAAAGGGGATGACTATTTAAACAACCACTTCTGGGACACTTGGCTGGTGCACAGAGCTTTGCTCTGAACAAGATGAATGAATCCATTTAGACAGGATGGCTACACATTTTGCATATCTTTATTGCACTTTTACCACGTTGCAAACAATTCCACAAAAATGCTGCAAAAGTAAGCCTAGAGCTGCCGAAAGCAGCTTTTTACCCATATATGTATATATTTACACAAAACTATCAAAAACAAAATTGAAAAGTAGCAGCTCCACTATGATAGTCTAGAAAGATAAGAGCTGCCACCTCCTTATTGACAAATAGTACAACTTGTCATTTTACATCACTTTGTAAAACCAACATTCAAGTATTCCTGTCAAAGCACAATTAGTGAAATTCCCTTCTGGTAACCCCTGTATTTATTATTATTATCATTATTATTATAATTTTTTGCCTTTAAAAGTTCATAATGCCTTAACCCTTTAAATGCTGAGTAGCTGGGGGGGAAAATAAGCATTCAATTTAAATAAGATACAATGGATTAGAGCACTTAAAGGGTTAACAAAAAATACTAAGTGGACTGTCACCACAAATAAAGTGTGAGTCACAAAACTATGCTGTCCCTCTTAGTTAAATTTGGAAGGTAGGTCTGGGGTTTCATAGATATGCCATATATAAATACAAAATATTAAGTAAAGGCCTCCTTTCTATACAAAAATGACAGGAGGTGTTTTGCTATCAGACTGCTGTCTGTCCATGATTGAGTATTTTCTGAATCTTTTCATAATCTCTCTTCAGGAACTAATGAAAAGCATCACATTAGACTTATTTTTCTTTATTAACTAATCCTTTGCAGAGTCTACACTTTACCTACTTTGGGAACAATTATATCTCATTTCTGAATTCACTGAATTCACAAAGTAGCATACACAGTCTTTTGCAAGACTTAATTTTTTTGTTGTTGTTTTTTTGTTTCTTTTTCTTCTTTGAATCTTCTTGACTCGGCTGGTAAAAACGTAGTCTTGCTATTTCACTACCTCTCGGTGGTAACAGTGTTAACATCCGTGTTAAAGTCATTTTCAACCACGTTGTCATAGCCGTCCTTCTCTATGCAGTCACTGACAGCCTTGAGGACAATCCGCAGCCGCCTGTCCATCGCCTCCAAGTGAGGCTGGTAGAGGATTGGAGCTATTTTGTCTTTTAGCAAAGATTCTTTCATCAGGAGACTAAGTTTGTACTCCTCCTTGGCTAACAGCTGTAATCGCAGATAGGTAGATTTCCTGATTCTAGGAGGGAAAAGAGGGAAAAAAATTGCAAATCAGTCGTTTCCATCGCTGTTGGTCTCGACAGTGCTAAAAGGCTTATAGCCAGAATTACAATAATAGTGCAGGAGCCTTATTCAGTGATCTAAAATAACAAGAACCAGGCACTGTCACAGTCCTAATGCAGCTGGCATTGTCACCTGGCCACTGATCTTTTGGGGCAGAGGATTTGGAGCACAGATCCATGGGGCAGTGCAGGCAGCCTGCACATCCCTCACCTGGAAGGGCACCACTCGGGGTCTGAGTGTCAGGATGCCCCAAGAGTGTAAAATCCTCATTTCCCAGCCCATGCAGCCAAAGAAAAAAATTTGAAAGGCGTAGGGTTGGCTTCTCAAGGTTGTTTATTTTTCCTTATCTATAACATTCTTTCTCTGACCTGCTGAGCTCTGTCTAGCAGACGGCCATGGCATTCTGTCTGCCCTCTAGGGCAGGGTTTATATTTTATACTAAAAACTACGTGTATTATGTTTATAATAATGTGCCAATATCTATCATTTATGTTAGACAGTGTATCTCTACCTTAAGCCAATAGAAAAGTGTCACTATCACACCAAGATATCAAGGGCAAGAAGGAGAAGAAGGCCAGGACAGGCCCAAATCCCTCCATCTTGACCCCCTGAGCTACATTCTAAAAACCCCAAAATTCTACTTTTTCACCCTGTGTTAATCCAAATACCACACTACTCAAACCCTTGTGGCTTGTAATTCCTCATACAGAGTTGGCAGTTTTTTCCACACGCTAAAATGGAAGCCACAGCTGTTTTTGACTTCGTGCCAAGGGCTCTGAGCCCCCTGCCAGGGCCTGGTGACAGGCAGGGCAGCCAGAGGGATGTGCTGGACTCGGACAAGCACCAAGTGGAGCTGGTGCAGCATTCATAGGGCCACGTCCACCTTGGCAATGACACGTGTGACACACGTGGCACTGGGCAGGGACATGTGTGACAGCAGCAGAGGCTCCTCAGGCTCTGCAGGGCTGCTCAGAGCCCCCACAGAGACACAGAGCTCACCCTGCAAATCTGAAACTCTAAATGTCACCTGGCCCCTCTGAAAACCCTGGCCATGGGCACCATGGAAAGTTGTTGAGAAGCATGTGAACAAGCTGGGATTTTGTCACTTGATTTCCATGGGATGTGTATTTTGTCTTTGAGCTTCTCTCCCAAAGGCTCATGGCCGTGTTCCTGCAAGGCCCTGATCCCACAGAGGATTTAACGAGGCAGTGCCAGTGCTCAGGGCTGGCTGGGCAGGATCACTCCATCTCCTCCTCTCTCAGTGTGCAATGAAAGATTCACTTTAACATTTTCAGTCCTGTTAGTGGAAACAATGGTACAAACCAGGAAACACCTCCAGAGGGAAAACATACCTGCAGCACTGGTTTAAAGGCACCAATATGGAAAGTTCATCATGGGAATATTTTCCAAACCTGTTTAAAGATAAGAGCAAGAATGTAACAAGGGCTGTTTCAAAGACTTTTTCCTTTTTCCTTTAACCCCAGAAAGATTATTAAAGGTATTTACCCTCTTCCATTATCTAAGTGGATAATAAAAGTTTCATTTCCAAACTTCTCAAAGGTTTCATAGTGATGTCGATCCATGTTACCTATGGGACAAAGAGAAGAAAAAAGACCATTCTCACTCTGGCTTGAGGTCAGAGCAATACAAAAGCAAGTGCTCCCCAAAAACAGTGGCTGGGTAGAGCAGAGAAAGCAGAAAACCTGCAGAGCTCATTTGCTCCTACTGTAGACACCCCAAAGTCTGTGATACTGGAAGGGTTGTTAAACCTCTGGCAGCTTTTCAAGTTCCCTGTTGCTTTTACACTTAAGCTCTAAAAGGCCCATCAGGAGGCAAAGCCAACCTTTCCACCCTTCTGGGGCACACCAAGGAAATCCCTCTCCAGCACAGCAGCACCTCAGCTGCCTGGGGAGCCTGCTCACTGCAGGGTAGCTGTGCTCCCTGCTGCAGGGAGCCCTGCTGCTGCAGCCTTGCACACACAGGGTGTGTGACACAGACATGGCACATGTGACACGTGCAAGGCTTTGCTCAGGCAGGAGGAAATGCCTGCTTTGAGCAGGGGTGTTAATCCTGGTCACTTTGTTAATACTGCATTCAACTTCCTGAATCCCAGCCAAACATCCTGGCTTTCCTCTGTAAGAAGTTTGCCCCAGTTGCTCACTGCCTGGGAAGCCAGAACAGCATCATGGCTGTAAGATGTGGACCAGGATGGTGCTGACCTGCACAGCTGCACAGCTCTCCCTCTGTGAGCTGCTTTTTAAGGCCAATGTGCAGAGCACTGCTGCCAAGCTATGAATTTTGTCTCCCTGGCAGGGGTCTTGAGCTACTTATAGATGCCACCCACATATGGCTCCTGAGCTGTCACCTGGCCTCTCCTGCTGCAGCCTATTGCAGGAATCTCAGTGGGGGCAAAGGCACAGGATGTGTCCATGCTGGCATGTGCCCAAGGATCAAGGATGGAGGTTGGCAACTCAGAGGTGAATTTGTTGCAGCAGGAAAGGTTTCATGTGAGAATGAGAATTAGGCTTGGAATGTATCACTAGTACTTGGCTGTAAATAATTATTTTATTGAGATCAGGTTACATAAACAGAAGAATTCCTGATACAATCCACAGCTGCCTTTGTGACAAAGCAATGCCTCTTCCCCCCCAACCCTGACATTTTATAGAGGAGCAGCAGAGAACACTCCTGCAGGATGAAAACAAAGCACCAGTAATGAGCAGTCCTTGCATGTGCACCCAGGAGCCATATATTACAGGGGTAAAGCACTCACTAAAGCAAACCGTGAAGCCCTTCACTGTTGTGAAGGAGACTGGCCTGCCCTGAATTCATCACCACTCTGCATTTCTGAACATCTTTGTTCCTTTAATCTGCACTGATGGGAATACATAACCATGTAAATCTGCATTTCCTCATAATCATCTAGAAAAGCACATACAGTAAATGCAGCTTCAGCCACGCTTTAGCAAACTGCTGAGCTATGCAGAGCAGTGCAGAAAGAAATGGTTCTTATTCTAATTAAATGTTGCATTTAATTTTTGAAAGAGATGAAACATACCCATTAGGAAATCAAAAACTGTCATATCCATTATATCCAGAATTCTGGTCCCACTGTCATATGGGGGTGTTTGTTTAACCTCTTCACAATAATCTGGATCAACTTCCCATCTGGAAAAGGCAATGTTTTGATATTTTATGTGACAAAGCTTACTGAAAATAACCAAAAAAATGTCACTTTGCAAAGCTCTACTTGTATCATGTTCGACTGAGGGTGGGGTCAGGTAGAGGCAGCAAATTCCAGCAATGCAGGCAAGCAAGGAAGATTGTGACTGATGAAGAAGGAAGAAAATCACAAGACTGAAAACTATCTGCTTCAGGATTTAGGAGACTAGCTGCACCATCAGTCATGTGGTGCAACCAGCTGAGCCTTGCTCAGGGCTGCTGAGAGCAGTGCATCTTCCTCCCTCTGACAGGACTTGTTCAGGTCCCATTGCATCCTGGCAGTGTCCCATGAGGGAATTGTGCCACTGAAGGTCCTTTTGGGTTCGGGACCACCAGCTGGAGCTCCTGGCACATGGGGGCAGGGCCAGGGAAAGCCCAGCTCCTCTCCCAGGGCCAGGGACTGGGTTGTTTCCCCACCACCCTGTGCAGCTCTGCTCACCACTACTCACTCTGCTTTCTTGCGCTTGTGGTAGGAACGCCTCCAAGGGTTTCTCCAGGTTTTCCTTTTTGCTAATGACAAATCAGGCAGGAAAGCAGCCAGGGACCCTTCAATCTGATCTGGTTTCCCACACAGGGCGTGCTCTGTTGAGCAGTAGTAGGAGCATTCCCCATAGAAGCAGATGTTGTTGGCTGGCAAAGAAAGGAAAACAGTTTTAAAGCCTACCCTTAAATTAGTATTGAGAATTCATAAAAGCACTGATGTATGTAGGAGCAGAAATAAATTCAAACCCCTGTTACCACACATAGTTTTCCTCCACTGAAACCACTAGAAAGACATTATTTCAGTGGCTGGGATCATGCCCTGTGCAAAGCTCTTTTTGACTATTTCCAGTCTATTTATATTCCCCAAACCTATTTTTTTTTTAATCCTGTCCTTTCTCCTTTTGTTTTCCCAGACTGATACATTCCTTGGGAGCTATTTCCTACCCCAGGCTGGGACCCCAAATCCCACAGCTGAGCAAGTGGCATGTGCCCAAAATTAAGTCACTTCTCAAAATCTTGGTTTGTTTCTTTAAGAACGGAGAACATTTCATTCATTTCCTTGCTGGTATGAGAAGAACTGGCAGTTTTTGCAAGGAGAATTATTTATTATCAAGAGTCCCGTGGGGGTGTGCATGGAAGGTGGAAATAGCACAGACGTAACGCTGTCAGCACACATCTCAAACACTAATTCCTTCCTCCACACCTCACATTACTCCAACAACCACAGAAAAAAGAATCTGCAGCAGGTTTTGGACCGTGTGTTACCTTAAAACCTCCCCAAAACTGCCACCACATATTTCTGTGCCAACAGGAACACCCACATCTTTACAAGAACATCCTGCCCACAGGAATTCACTGAAGGTGAGAGAGAGCAGCTCATCCCCAAAGCCCACCAACAGCAGACTGTGAACAGGAATAGGAGCACACTGCTGCTCTTGCCAGTGTGCTACAACCCTTGTGACATTGCTTTATGCACATAAAATGTCATTAGAGGAAGACTGTGCCCTTTCCTCATGGTAATGCATGGAACTGAGAAGTCACATTGCTTCCTAATTCCCCACAAGGCCTCTAAATTCAAATATTGTTTCTGAACTCCTCTCCCTCTGGGCAGGCTAGGTGTAAATGAGGCAGGAAGGGCTGGGAGTAGCAGGAGGTGATTTTCTGCCTGCCACAGGAAGGAAGGGTGGGTTTGCATGGCAGTGGTGCCCTGCAGCTCACAGCCCTGCACATCACTGTGACATCCCTGGCCCAAACCTGCATCAGCCCTGTGGAGATGGGGCATTGCCAGTGGGAGATGGTGAGCCAGGAGCACAGGGGACAACTCTGGGGATGACAGGAGGGAGGGAGGAACAGAGCAAGGAGCTGTGTTTGAGGAAGGAGAGGTAGGGGAACATGGAACAGCAAAAAGGTCTCATGATGCTTTTGATTAATTAGCTGCATTAGCTGGGGCTGGCTCTTGAACCATGGAATTATAGCAAATAACCACACTACAAGGCTGATGTGTTACTACTTGACAATCTGTTCCAGCTTCCCACTGATGTCTCAGCTTTCTCTGTTGATGGTGTTGATGGCCACCTGATTTGTCCATGAAGTTGTGATTACTTTACTCTAAAACAGCCTTTTTGCATCAGTCTGCTGTGGCTGACTCACAAGGGCCATCCATGCTCAGGAACAACTTACCCAAACTGTATATTTATGTTCACAGGGTTGGATCATAGCAGTTAAATATACCCTGGCTAAGTGCAGAAATATTTACTCTGTGGCCAAAAAGCTTGTTGACAATTACTCAAGGAAAAGAAAAGCACTTCAGGGAAGAGAAAAGGAAGAACAGAAATTACAAAAGGAAGGAAGGGATCACTCAACATATCTGTATTTCTGAGTTTGCAATTTAAGTGTTTTACCAAGCGGAATATCCTCTCTTAAAAATTGTGTTTCTGCTGATTTGAAGCTGCAGTGGGGCATGGGCTCCAATTCAGCTGTCTCAGCATCACCCCCTCATCTCTGGAGGGAGGGAAGCATGCAGATTTATCTCGACTGCCTGAGATAACTTATCTTCCAGGGTTTCTATGACCTGACTTCCACCTGGCAGCAGGAAGCCAGTGCTCGTTCATCTCCTGCCAGATCAGTTTTGTAAAGAGCAAAAGGCCCAACAAATGCCCCCCACGCCACCACAGCCTCTGCTGCTCACTATGTAAATCTGACCTTTCAAGAAAAAGGAGTTGTATTAAACACAACATTTTGCTCAGCGGGAAGATAAATACTCTGTTTAATAGTTTTCTTCTGTATTCAGCTTGGGGAACAATGAAACCCTGCTCTGTATTGTCAATGAAAGCAACTGGGGCTAATCACTTGTCAGTAATCACACCCTGGTATCCAGGTAAGTCTTGAGGAGAGCTGGGGGCTTTGGCAGTGCTGGTGTTTGCTGCTGCAGGGCTGTGCTGTAAGCACCACTGCTGCCTGCCACTCATCCCACTCAACCCTGCCAGGACCTTGCAGCTATTGATCCTCCACAGAGCCCCATCGCCTGCTCCAGCACCCAGTGCCCTGAGAGATGGCAAGATGTGTCCTGTCATTAAAACTGAACTTGCAGTAAAACCACAAGTGTATTTCTCACTGACAAGTTACATTCAATGGCAGATCTTCTTCTGCCAGCAGTTATTCCCCCCATGGCTCAGACCTGTGGTACCTGCTCCCCACAGCTCCTGTTCAATTTCTGGGGAAAGTGGAGGTGAAAGGATGCTGGATCTCAAGCTACTGCTAGAGAAATTAACTGCCTTGATTGATACAGAACAGACATCTTACTAGGTCTGCCCTAGTCCTTACATACCAGCAGTAAGATGAGGCAGCCTGAATTATCTGGGGAAACATTCATTTTTAAGGTTTCTTAAAAATGTAAAGGAAAAAAAGAAGCACCAAATATAGAAAACCAGAGATCTCATTTAAGACTTCAAGGTGCTGTAGCAAGGCTCTTTGAAACCTAAGTAGGTGACCCACATTCTGCACAGCAGGCTGAGGGTGAAATTCCAGCTAGAGACACAAGCCCAGTGCTTCATGGCTGAGAGCAGGGTTTGGCTTTCCGAAGCAAAAATAAGAGAGAAAGGGGAGATGAGCTCCCTGCTGGGGCACAGTCCTTCTCCTCTCACTAAAATTGCCCAAACCGTATGTTCCTCTCAGCAGATAAAGGTGTTTCTTGCATAAGTACACCTGCACAAGGAGCAACAGCCAGGAATTTGTGCTCCTGCAGGGTGGGCAGGAATGGCAGCAACAGCAGTGCTGGCAAAGCAGACAGGGAGGGATGTTTAGACATGCTGGAATGTCCAAATGCTGAGCATTTCCAACATGCAAAACACTCCTTCACTACAAGCCAAAACTGTTTCCCCAAAGCACCAGAAAGACAAGAGAACCTCATGTCGCAGTGTCTGATTTTCATTATCTGAGGAGGAATGGATGCGATTCCTAATGAAATGCAGGCAAAAATCATGGTCTGGTGATCGAAACTCCAACTAATTACAACAATTAAGAACCAGAGTGTCTGTGTCTCATCTGCAAATTCTCTGTGCATCCTCCTGATAGCTGAACAATAATTCTTCTCAGCAAGAAAAGGAACAAGGGGGGATACCTTAAAGCAAATTGCTCGGCAGAGCAATTCTTTTATTCAGCTTTGCATGACTGTTAATAGAGGACATTTAGCAAGCCTCTGCAATTGGAGTACTGGAAAGAATCCTGAATATTTACTACAGCAATGCATGAAAAGATCTTTCATTTACCTGCTCAAAATAATAGGTAATTCGGAACTGCTATTGTATGCTGAGAGGGAAAAAAAAATCCATAATCCCTTGGAATTGGTTAATATGAACAAAAACACAGTGCTTACTAGCTGTGTAACATTGATTTCTTTAAGCTGCTGCCTCAATTACTTCCAAAATGAAGGCTGACATCATTAATATGTCTCTTTTTTCCTAGCAAATTACCATTCATTTGTAAAAGTAGCAGGGCTACTGCAGTCTGCCCTGCTGCAAAGGATGTAAAATTAATTTAAATAATTACTGACCTAATTCCATTTCTCATGTTTAAGTCCAAACTGCCTGAAAGTGCACTTTTCTGCAATCTGCTTTCTCTCTGAGTGCAGCCTAATGCATCCACTGACCTGCCTGCTCACAGCCTTTGTCACTTTTCCATGGGAGCAGGGATGCTGCTGGGCACTCTGAAGCTGCCTCTGGCTCCCTGGCCCTGATTTCCACACCTGATGGGACAAGGGAGGTGGCCCAGGAGTGGAAATGCAGTGAGGTTTCTGCCAACACATCCCCACCCAGGTCTGGGAGATAACACAAAGCTCTTGGTGGGATCCTTGGGGTGCCCTGAGCAGGGCCAGGAGCTGGACTTGATGAGCCTGATGGGCCCTTTCCAGCTCAGTTTATTCCATGATCCTGTGATTGATGAGTGTCATCAATAATCACCCTCTGAGGGTGCAAACCATGGGCTCCCAGCCTAAGGGGAATGAACACCATCCTATATATCCAATTTTACATCATGCTCTTTTAATTTTAAGAGCTGTGTGTGTGTGCATGGAGAGGGATATTCTGCCAGCAGGCATCAAGTGTCCCCATGACCATTAATTGTCACTGAGCACTGCTGGGGATGAAGATGCAGTGACAGAGCCACCTGAAAGGGAGTCCCAGAGGGTCCTCTTCAGGCTCATGGTGGTGTACAGCCTGGGCTGTGCATGTACCCAGAGGTCACACCTCAATTTCTCACCTCTGGGGCAGCTCTCCCTCCAAACTGCCTCAGTTGCCCTTCATCTGCCCGAGGGGCAGCTCAGCCCCTGAGCCTTCCTCGGGCTCCCTCTTCCTCCTCACCCCCCAGACCACGAGTCTCACCCCAGCACCTCCACACCTCCCTCTTCTCTGCCTTCCCTGCCCTCAATCTGCTGCCTGAGCTGCCTGCTGGCCTTGGGGAAGTTGTTTCTAAAAGCTTAATTTAGGATCTTTGTTATTTTTCATTAAGCATTAATTAATGTCTGTCTTTTAAGGTCAGTATGAAATACAAGACAGAGGTTGGGCATATGTTAATGAGAATCTGACTAATTAAGCTGGGGACTTGTAGGGAAGAACTCTGACAAGTAACCAGCGTGAATTAACCAAAGTATATTGATGCGGGAAATGTAAAATGGAAAGAAAAATTAATTGCTTAAGCATTTTATTCTCCAGAAAAGCCTGATTCATAGTTAATCAAATATTTTAATTGAATTTATCTGAGACCTCTAAATAAATTTGAATAAAGGATTATGCTTGGATGTCTGGAATTTTATAATGGCAAGATAAAGATCATCATCTGAATTGGCAGCCTTAACTCTGTGTTTCCCTGCTCTGGCTGCTGTAAGCTGCTCAGCACTTGAGAGCAGTTTTGTAATTCCCAGAAATAATTCAAGTTCATCCCTAGGTCTTGAAATATAACCTAGGAAGACTAAAAAATCAAGCAAACCTACTAATCCACATCTTACTTGCCAAAAGAATAATAAAATGGCTTATGTTTAGAGTGAGCCAAAGCACCTTGTGCACAGTCAAAAGATTTTTTTTTGTAATTTTTTGTGCATATTTACCTACAAAAATCAAGCAAAAAATATAGTATAGAGAGACAAAAAGGGAGGGAAAGCAACTAAGGCAAATGCAGAAATGTGTGTCCACCAGGTTTGGTGAACATGTATTGCCACTATAACTGTGCATGTAAAACTGGAGTGCTCATAATACTGGGTAAAATAAAACCTTCTGCAATTATGAAACATATTTTACAAGCGAAGTTCCTGGAATAAATGACTGTCTGCTCAACTGTGTGCTGCAGAGCTGAACATAAATATGAAGCTAAAAATAACAGCCGTAATAATGACTTTATTAGGGATCAGAAAAGTGTGATAAACATTTTAAGAGCAAAAGCTCGGCAATGACAGCTCTGGTTTCTAGCTAACAGCAATAAATTACAGTTACATTGGGAGAAACAGTAATTAAGTCTTTGGATTTCGACTTTAGGGATCTGGGATAAACAGCTTCTGGCCAATCACACACAGAGCAAGGGAGAGATCTCCAGAGCTTTCTGCTCCAGATTGCCTCTTACACAAGTCAGAGCCTCAGATCAGCAAAGCACACTTGCACACAGCTGAAACAATATGAAATAAGCTACTGGAACATGCCACTGTGCTTTAGATTGAACCTATAACCTATACATTCTATATGTAAGAACAAATTTAAACATTATATCTCTGCCTTAACTCAGAGCCTCAGTTTCTCCATCTCAGCATGCAAGATGTTAAACAAGAGATGCTACCCATTTTTCCAAACTTTTGCCCATTTTCCCCTATTCCAGCTGCATATTCTGGTGTGCAGGATGTATATTCTGGTGGAGCTCCATCCTTGACTTTGTCCACAAAATGTTGTGAAAGACTCAAGAGTGAGTGGTATTGGCTTCTGGGTCAGCCCTCAAAGCATGAGTGAGGACTGTGAACAATTCAGGTCACTTCTAGCCCAACAGAGAATTTGAGCTGGAAGCAGGCTATATTACATATGTATTTCCTGATTTTTTATCCAAACTCCTGTTGTAATAAAACTTGAGTGGCTCTGTGAAATTAGGTTTGGTACTCCAGTCAAACCCAGAAATAAATGCAGCTGACCAACAGAAGTGACATATCACATTGCAGTGGGAAAAAAAAAAAACAAACACCTGAATAACTAATGGACTGGGTAATAAGGTTTTGGGTAAACTGAGAGCACCAGAAAAAAAATGCATTAGAAATTGTTCTACATAAAATATTTTTTGAACACATTGCTTTGGTGAACATAAAAGCCTCTCTCTGCAGATAATTTGTCAAGGGGAAAAGGCACTCAACTCAAAACAATAAAGTCTTTTTTGTAAGCTATGTCTCCACATTTATTTTTATTCAAAGGTCTAGAAGACAGTTTTATTAGAAATATCTGAGCAATTAAGCATCTACACATCGTTTCCCTAAATATGTGTTCAGCAGGATAGTGAGAAGAGAGTGTTATTTCCAGGACTACCTGGTGAGATGAAAAATGTTCTCCACAGCTTCTTGTCACGAGTAACATCTCGTATTTCTCTTGTCATGTTAACCAGTCTACCTGCGACCGGCGGCACGCGCCGGAAATCCAGGATCCTGCAAGAGGCAGAAGAGACATGGTTTATGTAAAGGATTAAAGTCTAATGAGAGTTATAGGTTTTAGGAAGCTTCATTACACTCTGAAGGCACATTTATCTGTGGTCTTTAAGGAGTATAAAGCCCATCACTTTAAAGTGGATAATTCTTCATGTAATGCATTACAAAATATGTCCTGAATATGATGAGCTCTGCACTGCCTACTGTAGTATGGAGTAAAATACAAGAAAAGTATGGAGGGCATTGTTCCATGATAAAAATGAAGATACATATGATTCCAAAAACCAGAGACAGCACAAAAATTTATATTTTCACTTTGTGCTACTTCGTGATTGTTATGACACGCATTTTGCTCACCAATTTTTAAGTGACTTGGGGAATGGGATTTCAGCCTCTTTCCTCCATAAACACCATGTAATTCTTTTTCTGACAGCCTTAGTATGTGTTTGATTTATTTCCTTCTGCTCCTCTCTGTTTTAATACCCTTATACCAACCTAAACAATCTCCCTGAGACCAAAAATCTTCCCACAGGCAAAGGCTGGGAGAAGAGCCACTCCCTATCCCCAACTCCCCCGCCTTCAGATATCATAAAAACCTCCCTACGAAGCACTGCTGTTAGATACAGTAAAAGAGCAAAGACCCCATACAAAGTCTCCCCATAGGCAGGATTTTTATATCCACCGTCTGCTGTTCACATTTTCTTCATTGGGTAGCAACTGCTTTTCCTGCTTAGTGTGTGGATATTTAACACACCCCCCTTAGGAACTCCACTGATGTTTTTTTTCTACAGCACCATCTGCTTAAAAAGGCAATATAAAATGTAAAGCAGAAGGGATCAACACCAAGGTCAACAACAATGAAATAGAGAAGATCCTTGAAGGATCTGATTAGGATTGGCTCTTACTGGAAAACCTACCCTGTGCCACCCACCGACACGTTCCCATATCCCAGTCATCATTCCAGAAGGCAGCAATACTACACCAACCCCCAAATAATTTGTGGCCCCAAAGCTTTGCGCTTTTGCAAGGATGCTTCTTGGCTTCTCACAGTGTGAAGGAGGCTTCAGTGAAATGCCATTGTTCCCAGACATACTGTTAATCACTAATTAGTAATTCCCACCCCTCATCTGGGCAGGCAGGCAGGGCTGCAGTCTTGGGGTAGCCACCATCCCCTGCACTAACTCTGGAGGGGGAACGTTTCCAGCAACAGGAGCATGAGATGACCACCACTGCCCTCTCCTTCCCACTAATTTTTGGCATAAATATGCTCCTGATGTGGGACAGTCCCAGCTTTTTCTGTGAAATCAGAACTCCCTTCCATCTCAAGGACTCCTCTCTGAAGGCACCATGCCCAGGGCTCCCTTGGATCTCTGTGCCCTGGAGCTAATTGGGGTGAGCCAGGCTCCCGTCACACTAACGTGACACATTCCCTGGGAGATGGGTCCTCTCCATATGTACTGCAAGATCACAAGGGAAATTAATTTCTCAGCTTCTCTTCAATTTTTCTTGTTGAGAATTACTTATTGCCAGGTTTCTCATTCCCCGAGTAAGTCGCATTTCCTAATTATTAAGTTACTCTTTCATCATCTGCCATTTCATTTATTCATGGCATTTGCCCACCTTTGTTCCATTTTCCCCTTTTAAAAAGTAATTCAGTTACAGGAACGGCCAAATGCAACAACTTATCACAATATTTCCCCTTTTAATGTAAATCTGTCCTACTTGCCTGTCGAGGTGAAATGCTGCTATTTCTGCATTATGTCTCTCGTAGTCTGAGAAGTAAAAAAAGTCAGGGGGGGTTTCTTGTTCTCTGGTTTGCCTGCAAAGGAAAACAAGGGAAGTGCTTTAATGAAGGGTTAGCATTCCTAAAGAGCAGTGCTCAGTCATCAACATGCTGTTCAGGAGTTCTGTATTGTTTGCTTAATGGAAGACCTTTAAATACCTCATTTGTGCATTATTTGCCATGCAGCCTTCATTTTATCTTCTTTTTCGAGCCACTCTAACAAAAAATAGGAATTAAAGACTTGTGCAGGCAGTGTGCTGTCACAAAGCTGTTCCACTCAAAACTCTTGCTCTATTTAACAAGATCTGTTTTATCACTCTCAAACATTTCATTAGCGATAGCGGTGAAGACAATGTCATTTCATTAAATTATCATTAACTGTAATTATGAAATTTCCAAAAGTAATAACATTTTTCTTTCATCTTTGGCAGCCATGCAGCTCCCATCTAAAATATGCCTCTCCCTTTGTATTACTTAGAGCCAAAAGTGAGATGTTTTTCTCATTTCAGAAGGAACAGGATCATTGCAGTTTGATGGCCACACCACTTGTCTTGTTTCAAAGAACATTAACAAGACTCTGCTTGAGAGGGGATGCAAAATTTGTTGTTTCTTCAGTTCAAGAACCAATAAAAAATGTCATTCTGATAGGAAGGCTGGAAATAGGAAGGCTAAAGTTTCCACAACACAGCACATGGAAAATACAAAGCTCTGTGTAAGAGAGGAGCAAATCCCTGTCTCACTTCAAGCACCTTCCCGTCCTTTTGGACGGAGCACAGCTCAAGCAGCTGCCCAGTGCAACATCTGGGTCCCACCTCTACCTGTTTTGAAGTCCTCAGAGGGAGATAAGCCCAGCAAAGCTGCCTGCAGAGCATCTGCAAGGGAGGACAGCTCTCCAGAAGAGGAAAACAAAGCTCTCTCTCATTCCCTGCTGCCACAGGTGGCCCAGCTGACAGCTCATGCGTCACTCCTGCTGCCTGCTGGCAATGAAAATACAGCTTCTGCATGGAGACCTTGGTGCATGAGAAGCTTTGGGATCATGCTGGTGCACAGCTCAAACCTCCTCATTTGAAGTCCTAATTTTGGGTTTGCTGGGGACCTGAAGCTGTGTCTACCCACCACTGTGACTACCAGAGCTGCTGTCTGCCCACAAACCCACCTGGGGCTCTCCAAGCTGCTGGAGAAACCTGACAAGTCCTGTGGTTTTTGGCTGTATGAATACTTTGCTGTGCACCCAGCAGGGTTTGAAAGCCTGATATCCTTTCTCATACATTCCTTTTTATTATATTAACATCTTGGCAAGGTACTCTATCTTGTCCTAAATGATGAACAACATCAAGATATTTGTCTCGTGTCCACTCAAGGTCAGAGTGACCTTAAACTCCCCAGTGATGCTGTGGCAAAATGGCACTGACCACTGTCACAGCAGTGGTCAGGGAGGTGGCCAACACTTGGCTGAAGTCCTGCTGGGCAGCTGCTGTGGCCACAGAGATCACAAGGACACAAGCTAAAAGAGAGCCTGGCATAAAATAAAAAGCAGCACTTTGCTTTGTCTCTATAAGAAATACCAAAGGGGAGGGAGCACACCCACAAAAAGGAATGGGGTGTGCACCTCACACCACACACTAAGCAGTCAAGACAAGAGTTAGGAGCTGCAAGTCATTGTGCATATTCCCTTAAAAAATGAAATAATGAGCCCTGAATATTAATTCAAAGAAAAACGATTAACCTATTTCTGCTGGCCATAAAATTACATATTTGTATGTAATCTTCCCTCCTCTCCAGATTTTAAAAGGGTTAATTTCTTCAGCAAATCCTCACCTCAGAAACTTTACGTAAATCAAGCACAGCGGGTAAGGTGCAGAAAATATTGCTAATTAGCTAATCAATGTCATCTACTTTATATCTCCTGGACACTTTAGAAGAAACCACGGCTGTTCCTTTGTGAGAAAATCTTGCTGCAGAAAATCAGACTGAACTGAGGGCTGGATCTGAGGCTTGCAAGCACAGCCTGCCCCAGCCCAGCCCCTGCTCCCTTTCACTGCTCCCTGCCACCCCAGCCATGGCTGTGGATATTCTTCATCTGGGAGGAAGGACAGCTGTCCTGCAGGCTCAGGCTTGTTTGTACATATTTTCCTGCTGTCAGAATGTATTATTAAGTGGTTGCACACCCTCCTAAGGAAATAATGAAACAGATTGCCCTAAAACCTTCAAAAAAGGACACCAAATCCACAGTGCAATCTAGGTAATGGAAATACCAGCTTTTTTTGAACCTGTTGACACATCATGAAACAAACTCCCAAGTTCCTTCAGTGTTTAAGGTGCTTTCCTCTACAAAAACCATTCTCCAGCCACTTTTCACATGGTCCATGCCCATGTCCAACACCTGCTACCCACTTTTCTGCCTCTTGAAAAAACCATGTTATTCAGAAAGCAAAGTGGAAGGAGGATTTTCCAACTATCCAAGATACTTTATATTCCTTATATTCCTCTGTAGAGCTCTCCAGAACTCAGAGGTACCAGATCCAAACGTGAAACCCTCTCCTGAAACAACCTTGAAATATCCTTTATGTTGACTTACTCCAATCTTCCACCGATATAACAGAAACCTGATTTCTTGGATCTAATATTAACTAGACAGGTTTTCACTCAAGCAGACATTTATTTTTAATTTGATGTCTGCAGCAGTACCTGAAGAGGTTCCTTGGGAATTCCCCAGCCAGAGCAAGCTGCCACACCACCAGCAAACACTAAACTAACACTTGTGTGGATTGTAGCCCAAGAAACACAACTGAACTTACAAAGCCACATGAGTCTGACAGAGCTCTGAACCAATGCCATTAACAGACTGATATGAGAATGGCTTCAAGTGTCAAAGGGCACCTACATCATAATCTAGAATGTTTACTTTATCCAACTGCATTGATACATAATTTTATTTTATCCATGTTAAAAAATGCCTTTTTTTTTTTTTAACTGTGCATAATCTAATCAAGTCTGTTTTTTGCTAATTCTAACGATCTATTCTGATGTAAAAATATATAGAGGTGGAAGATCAAACTGCTCTCAGCAAGTTCAGTGAGTTACTCCAGCTTTAGATCATGGTAACTAGTCTTCAGCCCCTAAGTGACAGGCTGGGAAAGGGGAATGAAACTCCCAGACCCTTCCAGGTCAAGTAAAACCTCTTTTAAAACAACACTGGAACTGATCCACCCAAATGCATGTTTGAAATCTGAACTGCATTTTAAAAGGGAAAAAAAACCCACCCCTACATACAAGTCAGTTTGATTTTATTACGTGATGGTTATTGAAGGTTATTGTCTAACAAAATGACACATATAATGAGATACTTGAGCAAAGAGACCACCACAACTTCTGAGGGACAACAGAACTGCAGTCTGAGCTCCTCAGTGCCAGCAGTGCCATCCCACCCCGAGAAGGGACAGGTTCTGCACAGGTTGCAGACGGTGGGAGAGGATTTCTGGCAGCAGCTCTTATTTTGCAAACAGTTGGAATGTGGTGATCCTCTCTTTGGAGAAGGATTTGGCAGATATTTATAACAGGAGGCTGGAAAGCTCTGGAGGAGAGACAGATGGAGGTCTGTTGATACTGCACACAGTTAAAAATTACACGGTGGCACCAGCCCAATTACAGCATGAGGAAAAGACAAATCAGCACGGTAACATGTGTAGGGGAGAAGTAAGAACCGAGGGGAAATCAAAGCCCATGAAGATTTTCCCACCATGGCACAAGTCAGAAAACACATAGGGAGCAAAGAATGATTTTAAACAGGACAGGGACACGTTTGTGTTGACACAAGGCAAGATGCAACTGTGATCTGATCTAGTGGCTATAAAAGTGAGGCATGCTTACAAACAGAAGAGAGAAAGCTGCTCTGATAAATGAACAGTCATGAATAAATCTGGTGAGTCAGCTCCTTTCTAGATACAGTTGGGACCTGGTTTGGTGTTCAGTAGTATTTGAATAAATCAACATAATGATTTGTGTTCAGAAATAATTGTAAAGTCTCAAGCTTCTCTTCAATGTTTCTGTAAATTTTTTTGCCAATTAGTTGGTCCTCCAGCCTCAACATTAATAACTTCTCAGGAGTTTTCTTTTTGCTGTTCATGAACCATATCACCACAGGGCAACTGCAGGCTCTGCAGAGACTCTGGTATTTCAGAAAACAGTATTATAAAAACTAAACCTTTACCATGGAAATCTGTATTTAGTTTCCAGGATCACTAGCATACACCTGCCTAAACTACCAGGATTAACACCCACCAGGGCCGTGCATTACTCAAAAGAATCCTGCTCAGTGCCAGACTTTCTCTGCTCTGGAGGGGTTCTATTATCTGTACAGCAGCCAGAAAGCTAAAAAATAGGGCAAAGAGCCCAAAGTGAGCTAAGTATTATCCTGACAGACACATGCTGCCTCCTCATGCTGCAGTCCAAAGACATCTCTGAGACCCCTCTTGTGTCAGACCCACATCCCTGAACGAAGGAGAGGATGTGCTGCTGGCTGGAAAACAGCTCCTTTTAAACAGGCTGCCCTCGTGTTCTGACACATAATCAGGGGAATCAGCTGCTGGGATTAGCAATGATTAGGGAGCACGACAAGGAGCTTTGCTGCAGCAGGGAGCAGGTTTGCTTGGGTCAGGCCATTTTGCAGACAGAGCCCCTGCCTGACCCAGCCAGGGGAATTGGGCAGCAGCAAACTCACTAAGAGATATAAAGCACTGAGGCTTTGTAATTGCATTGGCAGGGACAGGACTAACACTGATAAAGGCATAATTTGGCTATCAGAACAGATAACAGGAGATTAACTGGGTCCACCACAGCTATAGGTTGCTATTCTTTTCCTTTGGAAAGCAGCTTTCCTCTCTTGCTGAGAAGCATTTAAGGTGTTTAAATACCTGTCCTGAAGCCCAGTTGCAGGCATAACAGTTCATACAGAGTGTTACCTAAATGATAAAATATAACTAATACCAGACTAAAAGGATAGTTACTGCAGGACTAAAAGGTGGTCACTCAGCAGT